AACAGCAAAGCTTTCAGGGACAAGGCACAGAGCCCTGTGCTCTCAGGATGCCTAGGGCTCCAAGAGGTGGGACTGCTCCATGAGGTGTGCTGTCTTACTGATCCAGCACCTGCCCAGCTTGTTTGTTGATTTGGAGTTGAGAATGCATTCAGTAGAGCAGATGCTGAACTAATTGGGGATGTGAGACATATATCTTCTTCCTACTATATACTTTAGAAATGTACTCCTATCTGTTTGTTTAAGAACTCCTTAACAGTAAGAGCGAGGACCACCAAATTTGGTATGCAGCCTCCTCTCATCACTGCCAAATGACAGGCCTTGGACATGAATTACAGCAGGGCTCAAACTATGGTCCTGCAGAGTTTGGGACCTGGAGCACTTGCTAACCTGAGTCGAACAGATTTGCCTGTGGACAGGATGGGGGCTTGGGCTCAAACCAGAGTGGAAGCTCAGCTTAGATGCACAGTCCTGCTCATTGCTTCCATGTGGCTTCACAGCACAGAGACAAGAGAGCCTCCCGGAGGGAGGAAAGGTGCTTTCCTGGTGCTGAGGCATGAATTGCTGCAAGTGCATCTAGCACTAGATGGCACCATGGCCCATGCAAATAAAAAGACCCAGCTGTCTGGGAAGGTGCCCAGTAACCCCATGTTTGTGGTGTTTCTGGTGCCTCAGGTCTCATGCTGCAGCCTACAGTTTCCCTCTCCTAAGGACTCCTGGGCTTTATGCCCATCTCTGGGAGAGTAGTGGGGTCTATTGGAGCAGGGGAAGGAACTGGGAACCAGCACCTGTAGGTGGCAATCTTGGCAAAGTTAGGCCAGATACAAGCTCCTAGAGTGTTTTGTTGCACCGATTTCTCTCCCTTTCTGTGAGCTAGTTGGGAGGGGGAATTTGACTGGGGCAGAAAGTGACACCATATCTGGACTTGGGCAAAGCCATGGGGCAGGTGGGGGGAAAATGAACTCCTACACTCTGAGGCCAGCCCGGTAACCCCCCAACCCCGGCTTCCCTAAAAAGCACTGCCTAGTGGTTTTCCCAGACTCTGTTTCCTTTCTCCATTGGCTGAGCTGAGAGAGACTGTCCTCTCTCTTTCTGCTCCATGGGGCAGACAGGGGCTGGGATCTAGAGAAACAGCAGAGCACCTGGCAGCAAGACGGGTGGCACGGCTGTAAGCTGAAGCAGGGCCAGTGTGGTTACAGATACGGAGCAGAGACCACCTCCAGCAGCACAGCAACAGAGGGCATTGTGGTGGGACTAGAGCTCCTCCCCTCACTGCAGGCGGGAACCCCCTAGAAATTAATCCCTTCTTCCATCTCCAAAAAGCACTCTGGTGGTTTTTGCTTAGCGCCTCCAGACCTGACCCTCTTTAGACTAATTATGTCACTTTTATTATAGACTAGGGCTACGTCTAGACTGGCATGATTTTCCGCAAATGCTTTTAACGGAAAAGTTTTCCATTAAAAACATTTGCGGAAAAGAGCGTCTAGATTGGCACAGACGCTTTTCTGCAAAAGCACTTTTTGCAGAAAAGCGTTCGTGCCAATCTAGATGCGCTTTTCCGCAAAAAAGCCCCGATCGCCATTTTTGCGAGCAGGGCTTTTTTGCGCAAAACAAATCTGAGCTGTCTACACTGGCCCTTTTGCGCAAAAGTTTTGCGCAGAAGGACTTTTGCCCAAATGGGAGCAGCATAGTATTTCCGCAAGAAGCACTGATTTCTTACATGATAGAAATGTAGCCGTGTTAGTCTGGTGTAGCTGAAACAAAATACAGGACAATGTAGCACTTTAAAGACTAACAAGATGGTTTATTAGATGATGAGCTTTCGTGGGCCAGACCCACTTCCTCATATCAAATAGTGGAAGAAAATTTGGCTGTGACTATTTTCCTTCCACTATTTGATCTAAGGAAGTGGGTCTGGCCCACGAAAGCTCATCATCTAATAAACCATCTTGTTAGTCTTTAAAGTGCTACATAGTCCTGTATTTTGATTTCTTACATGAGCTTGTCAGTGTTCTTGCGGAAATTCAAGCGGCCAGTGTAGACAGCTGGCAAGCAGCTGCTTTTGCGGAAAAACTTGCCAGTCTAGACACAGCCTAGGTGTCTTACCATAGCAGCCAGGAGCTCCTCCACCTTGGACCCATGACAGTAGGGTCTGTACAAACACACTCGCCACAAAGAGCCCTTTATCAACATAGCAGACAAGAACCAACTTGAGAGTGGCAGGGAAACAATGCGACAAAACTGGACAACTACACAATTGACCCACTGTGTTCAATTTTTTTGCAGGTGTCTGTGGTATGTATATTCTTCATGCCCCAGTCAGTGAGCTTGCCACACTTATTGCAAACACCAGGGTGAGGGCAGACTGGGTGACAGCAAATGACCTGTACAACAATTGGTAACACCACCGTGCAGCTGCATGAAAATCCCTGCAGACGTTCCTATGACCAGTTACCAACACATCAGGTCCCGCTTGGAGATCAGCAGGGATATGGTGAAGCTGGCTTCCAATACAGTCACACGTGCCATGAACTGGTGTGTCTCAGCCTATCCAGTCTCTGATGCACTGCTCAGCTCAAAGGAAGCCCAGACCACAAATGCAGAGCCGTGTGGCGGTGGTGGCTGGTCTAGAAGGGGCTGCAGATCAGAAGTGAGGACCACCTGGCTCCCAGACCCTCTCTCTAACCCACCAGTCCCCGATCCCCTCCCAGAGCCTGGGAGAGAACGGTTCCCAGCCCCCCTGCTCTAGCCCACTAGCCTCACTCCCTCCCAGAAACGAGGAGAAGACCCAGGAGTCCTGGTTCCCAGCCCCCCCCCAAGAGCTCAGGAGAGAACCCAGGCGCCCGGGTTGCTGTGGGGCGGGGTTGCTCCGCCTCCTCTCGCGAGAGCTCCCTGTTCCCGGGAAGAGGATTTGTAAACAGAAGGTGTTAGAGGGGAGACCCCCCCCTTGTTGCAGCTAGCGGGGGGCCGTTGCTCCAGACCCCGCCCTGCTCCAGGGAGAGAACCCTGCTGCTGCAGGAGCCAGCACAGGTCAGTGTGGGGCTGCCCCTACAGGCACCAGCTAAACAAGAGAGGGCCTCTGGGGGAGGGGGGTGCTGCTGCGGTTTGGGGTCAGACAGAGGAGACCATACTCAGCACAGTCAGGAGAGGGAGTAATGCTGGGGCGCCTCTCAGCGCCGGGCGAGGACCCGCTGCGTAACTGGCTGCCCCGCCCCAGACGTGGCTGCATCTCCTTGCCGGGGGAGGGGTCCGTGTGTAACCGGTCGCCCTGGCCCCGAGGTGGCTGCATCACAGGGCTGGGTTGGTGAGCTAGTGCCACCCCCCGTGCAGTGTAGATGTGCCCTGTGCCCCCTTCAAAGTGGGCACTGCTGAGGCAGCAGCCCAAGACTCCCCTCGCACCCATCCTCTCCCTCCCCCCCCCCCGGGGAAAGGGAGTGCAGTTTGCATGACCCCTGACTACGGAAAGAAGACTGGCAGAAATGGTTAGTGGGCACAGCCTAAGTCTGTGACTCAGGACACCTATATTCCATTCTCTCCTCTGCCACTGACCTGTTAGGCAGTTCCTGGCATCTCCGTGCCTCAGTTTTCCTTCCCACTCATTGCCTGTCTCACTGGTTATATTGTAAGCTTTCAAAGCAGGGACAGCCCCATGTGTGTGTGGTGCCCTACTACAGGGGGCCACCAGTATCAATGTAACCCCTAATCTTAGAGGTGGATTGAGCTGTTTCAAAGGCTACTGCCCTGTGGGGCCAGGGCTAAGTGCTCCAAACTGCCAGGGCTTAAATCTCCCCCTGCCCTGAAGTCCTGGCCCTGCCCACTACTCTGTTAGCCTGGTGCTGGCTCTTTGCTCCTGCTCAGCCCTTTCCTGATCTTGGCCATGCCACCTGGAACTTTGCTCCGTGGTCCTCTGCCAATGGCATAAAGAGACCAGCCCTGCATCCCTCCGGCAGCCATGTCACTGCACCTTCTACCAGGGTGGAGCCAAGCACCTCCCAGCCTAGACTGGGAAACTGAGAGCATCAGCCTCTGATCCTCACCCAGACTTGTTTGGTCAGGTCAGGGTTCCCTGCTAGGGATGTTAATGTTCATTTTAGTAATCGCGTCGTCACAAAAACGTTATCATTACACGATTACTAAAATATTCTCCAGGGGCAGGGCTGGCAGCCAGTGCACTCCTTGCCCCACTCTTGGGGAGCCCCCTGCCACCCCACATTGCTGCCTGCCCACCAGCAAGAGGCAGCAAGGGGGTGTGTGCATATAGTCATTTGGATTAACCAGTAAGCCCAGGCATATTGGTTAATCATTTAAATGACTATATGATAACATCCCTACTCCTTGCAGGTCCCTCTGACTGAGATCTGGGCCCTTGGAGGGCCTGGCCAAGCGCTGACCCCACCTCACAGCTGAGATCTGGGCCCATCATGCTTTTTTCAAAGGGAGTTTTTGCTAGTGGTTGGAGGGTGTTAGGAGCCAGGATTCCTGGGTTCTCTTCCCAATGCTGGGAGGGGAGTGGGGGCTGGCAGCTCAGCAGGTGGAGCTGGGAGCCAGGACTCCTAGGTTCTTGCTCCAGTTCTGGGAGGGGAATGGGGACTGGTGGGTTAAAGTAGGGGGCCTGGAAGCCAGAATTCCTGGGTTCTCTCCCTGCCTCAGGGCGGGGAGTGGGGTTAAATCAATAAGGAACCAGAATGGAGTGGTGCCCCAGCCAAATTGTGTTTGCCACTTGTGCCTTCAGCTGTGTGCCCCACGTGTAAATCCAGCATGGGTTACACCTGAGTTAATCAGCTTCTAGAATGTCAGCCCCTGCCCTGGGCCCTGCAGCATATACACAGCCATCTCTGTCCCCAGCCATGGCATTGCCAGACAGCTGCCCTTGGCCACCAGCTTCCCCTTCTAATCTCACTCCCATTGGGTACAGCTGCCCTCGGAAATGGGGAAAGAACCACGGGGTTCCTGCCCCTCACTTCCTCCCTGCAGCCCTCCTGCCAGCCTTCTCTTCCCCTTAGCCAGAGGGTGGTAGCTGGGTGGGAGTGTCACCCTGGATCTTGCTCAGGATCTGCTGCTGCTGGGAGAAGCCAGGGATGATAAATTGACATGAGAGGATGGGAATTGTTAAAGTTTGTAGCCAGGATCCACTTGGGCTCTGAAGAACTCAGAAGTCCTGGTATGGTCTGTGGTGAAGCTGCACAGTGCTGTCTGTAAATCAGGGGCTGGCTACCCAGAGGGTATAATGCATCTGAGGCCCCTGATTGGTCCCGCCTGGGATCTGGCCCCAGTATCTCCCATGGAGCGATAGCCCATTGGTTCTGGCTGAGCTCTGGGCCCCACTTACCTCAGTGTCCTTGCCCATGGTTACACAGTCTCGTGGGTAATGAATAGGCCCTTTGTTCTATCCACGAGCCCCAGGGCCATCTCCCTGTGCAAACAGGCTGGGATGCAATGGGGGGCAGATCTGAGACTCCCAACAAGGCTTGCTGTGCACTCGCCACCCTGAGCATCTATGCAGGGTCCTTCCTTCCCTCCTCACTGCCAGAAGATTGGGCCAATTTTGACTCTTAGGCATGGGCCTCAGGGTGACCCTGCTGAAGTATTGTTTATGAGGAAGCATTGCAGTGCCCGCAGAGTCCAGCTCCTGAGGGCTACGTCTACACTGGTCCCTTCTCCGGAAGAGGCATGCTAATTTCTAACTTTGGAATAGGGAAATCCGCGGGGGATTTAAATATCCCCCGCGGGATTTAAATAAACATGGCTGCCGCTTTTT